CAGCTGGTCCTCAGGAGGAGCCGGCCAGACAGTCATTTAGTGAGCTCTTGCCCGGGCTCCTGCCCCACCCCAGATCCCTCATTCACAGTGTGTGTGGGAAGAATGAGGCTGCACTGAGTGGCCTGTCTGTGACTGGGCAAGGGGTGGCTGAGGAGAAGCTAGTGTGGCACCTCCATCAGCTGAGGCCACCAGGGCCGGGTGGAGCCAAAGCCCATCCTTCAGAAGGGCCTTTGGGTGGGAGACAGGCATCCGGCCCAGTCCCAATGGGTGTAGCTGAGGACCTTGGGCCGTGAGAGACTCTGCTCCACACCAGGACCAAACTTGGGACATAACAACAACTGCTGTTTGAGGGTCAACAGCAGCTTGTCAAGTGGCCGGGAGAAGTGCCGGGTATGAATACTATCTCATTGGCTCCACACAAATACCTTGTATGCGGTGTGGATGCTCTTATCTTCATTTAGTGGATGGCTGAGCATGAGCCGCAGGGGCCTGAGCACCTTGCTCACGGTCAGACAACTGGATAGCGCTGGAGCTGGGACTCACACCCAAGTGTGTCTGATTCCAGTCCCATGTGACCAGGACTCTGCCACTCTGCAGGTGGCTGCCTCCCGTGTGCCTGGCTGCAGGACCTGGCGGGAGAGGTACAGGAGACGCGGTGCTGCCTATCCTGGGTTACTAATGTGAGCCCTGAGGATCGTCAGGGGCCTGGCTAGAACACATGGGGGCCCAGAGAGGTGGCGGAGGGGAGATGAATGAAGCGGCTGTTTACCAGGGTTTGCATGGGGGAAGCACAGCACCAAGGATGGCAGAGCACTTAGAGACCAGTAGCGATGGGGCACCTTTCCCACCCGTGGCCTGAAGGCAAGGTGGGGGCCCTGTTAGCAGACCCAGGCTGTAGGAAAGGGCCGCCAGCCTCTGCACGCTCTGCAGGGAGGAGCCAGGGATGTGCCTTAGCCCTGCACTCCCCACACCCTCCTGGCTCCTGTGCTGAGGAGCCCGGCTGATGCCCCTATACAGGTCTCTAAAGGTCTGCCTTCTGGGATGGAACGAGAAGGAGAAGGGTGGCCAGTGGATCTGGAGGAGAGCAAATGAAGACTGTCTCTTACCTGTTAGAAAGGATGTCTGAAGGAGACACTGGCCTTGTCTGTGTCTGTATTTGCCAAGCTTCCCATGCGGGACCCGAGTATTTGTTAGAGGAAAGCTTACAGCTTTATTTCCTGGCATCTTACCCTTCTGTTACAGATTACACTGTGCCCCTCCCCTCTGCCAAAAGAAAGGTGTGTGGAAGTCCTAATGCCCAGCACTCTCACATTGTGATGTTATTTGGAAATAGGGTTATTGTGGATATAGTTGGTTAAGATGAAGTCATGTCGAAGTGGGATGGGCCCCTAATCTAACATGACTGGTGTCCTTGTGAGAGAGTCACATGAAGACAGAGACACACGGGGAACAGTATGCGCCGCAAAAACAGACATATGATGCAGCTGCAAGCCAGGGAGCACCAAAGTTTGCCAGGATACCACCAGAAGCTAGGAAGGATTCTCCCCTACAGGTTACAGAGGGGGCATGGCCCTCATGACTCCCTGATTTTGGACTTTGAGCTTCCAGAACTGAGATAATACAAGTCTGTTTCAGGCCACCCAGGTTTTGGTACTTTGTTGCAGCCCTAGGAAACGAATATGTCTCCTAAAGCAATTTCCGTGTTTTATTAGCAAAAAGCATTTGTGAGGTACAAGTGTATGCACGGCTAAGTCACCAGAGGACCAAGCCAAACCTGGGGATTCAGGAGGTAGAGTTTCCCTTTGGTGTTTGGCCATGTTTCTTAGAGACCACTCTAAGAATTAGGAGCCAGAAGCGACCCTCTGAGGCCAGAGAAGAGAGGAAATTTCTCTCGAGCCATATACCAAGTCTGAGGCCAGGCTGGGCAGAGAAGGCAGCCCATGTGAGGCTTATCTCCAGCCCGATCCGGCTCCACAACTGAACAGCTCATGTCCCGTCCCCATGCTCTGGTCTGTTGCCCTGTGAGCCTCGGCAGTGCCCTTGGAGGGAGGGAAATCAGAAGCGGGGCTCTGGGCCTCTCATGCTTGTTCTCGGGCTGTGCCCTGTGTGGACCAAGCACAGATGGAGACCTGTCCCAACTCCTTGAGGCACACTGCTGTGCTGTGCCCCACCTTCCTTCTGTTTACGGTAATTGACTGCACCTTGGAACAGAAAGAGAAAGGTGTGTGTTGCCGGTTGGGGGTGGGGTGGGGGTACTGCACTGATCTGTGCATTCCTTAAAAGAGCAAATTTCACAGTTTGTATTTATCATTTAAATGCCTGTTCTGACTCATTCAGTCCGTCAGTCAGCAGATGGGTAGGACCAGCTCATCTGTTTACTCGGTCTTGTCTCTCGTCCCCACTGGCCACTACGATACATCCAACAGTGAAGACTTCTCTAATCATAGCTTCTCTTACCTAGCATTTTACACTTGGCAAAGAGAGTAAAGAAGTGTTAGTCCAATGGGTATCATTAATGATGTGCAGAGTCTCTCTCGGCCTGGGCTGGCTGGCTCATGGATGCAGGCGGGAATGCCTCTACCTGTGAAGATCAGGCTTTGACACTCAGAAGAGATTTGCTTTGCTTGTCAGTTGGTAACCCAGGACTCCAGAGTTGACTGAGCGTTTTGCTTAGTGTGGCCATATTGCTTCCAAACCATTTACATTGGCACCAGATGGCTGGGATGGGAGCTTCTGCTGAGACGTCGTTGAGGAGGCGGTTGCTGTGGTCCCAGTGTTCAGGGGCGAAGCCCTGGATCAGAGAGGTTGCCGAGAATGAAAGAGGTGTACAGATCAGTGCTGCAGAAGGTGCTGAAGAGAAAGAGTCCCCATGGTGTGGCGAATGATCTGATGAGACTCGGGGGGAACAGGGAATTGAAGCTAAATGCCTCTGAGGCTTCTCTCCTGGGCTCCAGGGAAGGGTGGCAGGAAAGTTTGGGCAGGAACCGTGTGCACAAGAGGAGACATGGAGAGATTTACATGGGCTGGACACATGGGATGGGATGTGAAAGTCTTCCTTAGAATGCTTTCTTGCTTTAACTAACCTTTTGTATCTGTGCAGAGCCCGGGCCGGTTGTGCCAGAATGTGGGCCCTTGAGGCTGGTTGGTGTCCTCAACAGTTCATACTCAACCACTTTACCCCAAACCCAGAGCCGGCAAAGCCTCTCTCTCCCCTGGTCCAAGGAAGCAGCTTGAGGCCGAGTCTGAGGCCAGAGGCGTAGGGATGAGATTACAGGGAGGCTGGCCTGAATTGGCAGCAGGAGGTATGGTTGTGGTGTGAAGCTGGGGGTTAGACTCTGTTGGTTCCGGGACCCTGTCTCAAAGACTGAGGATTGAGAGGGGAGCCACGGGGGCATCGTTCAGAAATTCTGTGACAACAGGCTGGCTTGCCCGGTGAGCACAGCACGTGGAGGCAGGACACAGCCCTGAGGAAGGTCAGGGAAAAGAGCTACAAAGGACTCTGCAGGGAGGCCAGGCTGAGTCCTTGGCAGGCTGCTGTGATGGACAGAGCAGGGCCAGGGTGGGAGCACCACAGGAGCCTGAGGTGGTGGCTGGGGGGGTGTGAGCTCCAGGGGGTGCTCAGACTACTTGCTGAGTCCAGGTCTGGAGGGTAGCACGGGCCTCCCCGGAAAGGCAGAGGGCCTCGCCGTGGTCAGAGGTGCCTGGCACATTCTGGTCCCTCCACACTCAAGATGTGGGAGTGGGGGTGACTGTGTGATACACAGACAGGAATACCTGCCAGTATGAACTCAGTCTTAGGGCAGGTGTGTGTGTGTGTGTGTGTGTGTGTGTGTGTGTGTAGGTGTAAGTATGTGGGGTGGTGATCCCTGTGCTTTCATCAGCTAGGGGATGGGGAAGGAAGGAGGAAGTGCCAGATGTGTGCCAGGCTCCCGTACCCCTGTCATTTTATTCACTGCTCACAACTCTCCTTGGGATTCCCCTTTCCTGCCATTCAGAAGCTGTAAATGCAGATTTACCTGCATGGTTATTTGATTAATTTCTGTTTTCCTACTTGCCTGCAAGCTCCCTGAGGGTGGGATGTCTGTCTGTCCCCTGTTCTGTCTCTAACGCCTGAACAAAGCTCATTCTGCCTGCGGGAGTGGCTCAGACAGCCTTTGCTGAAAGGAAACTGGAGTCGCTTCATACCACCCTGTTTCAGACCTCTTCCAACCATCCTGAGCCCTCGTGAAGGCTCAGGGAGGGAGTTGGGGCTGCAGTGAGCTGCCCCTTGACTCAGTGCATTGATATAATAACAGCTTGCTTCTTGCAACTACACCTGGTGTGGCTTCTAGCTTCAGCAGTTCTGTGGGCCCTGGAGGGCAGCCCAGGGCAATGACTGCATGGTTGTGCTGGCCCTCCTCTGCTTGGAAGGTCCACAGACTCGCCTTATCGGATGCACACAAGGCACTGCTCCGAGACGGCCTGGAAACCCCGATTCCATCTGTATATGTTGTCGTATATTGTTACCACCACGGAAGGACGTTGTAAATATTTTCAGCTGAATGTCTGATTAATGTCTCTCCAAAAAGAATGGCAGAGCTGTAAGGAGAGGGTTTATTTATCTCTCTTTCATCATGATGGGTATCTAATTCATCCCAAATGTCAATACATCCCGAGGTGCCAATCCAGACAGAGACGGGAGCCGCCTGCAGAGCCAGGCAGCAGCCGCCTCTTCCTCCTTGCAGGGGGTTCTGACCTGGCCCTTCACCCGGACCTCTGGGCACTGGCCCCCACAGTTGGAGGGGGCACCCTGAGGGTTTCTGTATTGAAGCCACTTCAAGGAGATTGTTCCTTGGGAAACTGGGGTCTCTCTGCCAGGCTTCTCATGTGCCTGGGTTCTCGGGTTCTTGCCAGTCCAGCCAGCTCTTGCCAGAGGCCCCCTTCTGTCTCCCCTCATGGCCTCCCCTCTCCTCTTGCTCAGTCTTCCTCACCCTCTTGTATGTTTGGGGTGGCTCCCACTTGGTTCCCATCCACCTGTTTCTGCCGCTGCCCTTGTTGCCCCTGGGGAGTCACTCCATCATCTCTGTCCCAAGGGCCAGGTGGAGCTCTCCATCCTCCCCTCCCCACCACCGCTCACCACTGTCCAGGAGACCATAGCATTTCCTTTTGCCTCCACGCAGTGTGAGTCTCTCATTCTCCCTGTTGGGATGGGCCCACTCATTCCCCATGTGCAGAAGAACCCCATCCATTCCCTTGAATTTCTGTCTCCTTCTCATGGCCTCGGCCAGAATAGGATGCCAAGTGTAATTTTTTGCTTCTTGTCTGTCCCTGGACTAGATCACGAGTCTTTCCAGGGCACCCACCTCTCTGATTTGCTGCTGTATCCTCAACGTGTTCCTCCTTGGTCTTTACAATAATGCAAGGAAGAAGGTAGACAAGATATTATTAGATATTTAATATTGTTAAGTCTTACAGATCTCTTATAGGTGTCTTACAGATAGCACCTTTAGGGTTTTTGCCTAGCGAAGGAAACTGCAGCTTGGAGTGATTAAGTGACAATAATAACAATAGCATATGATTTGCAGTGCTTTATCTCCCCCTACCTCCCCACTCCCCACCCCCCAGTCCTGTGTATTGGAAAACTCTAGCCCCATTCTGCAGATGAAGAAGGAAGGAGGGAGTGATGACGGAGCGAGGGATGTGGGGGAGAGGGAGGGAAAGAAAGAGAAAGGAGGGAGAGAATGGGACAGAGAGCGAGTCGTGGAGGTGGGATCCCGACTCAGTCCGCCTACAGCATCACCGCCTCTTCCCCTCTCCAGCATTCCTCCCTGCCGTGGGCAGTGAGGACACGCTCCCAGAGGGCAGAGGCCAGGCGGTGGGTGTGAGTTCCAGAGTTGCATCCCCTGTAGGCATCAGATCTGACAGCAACACATGCACCTCCAGCTGGTTGGTCCCCACGCCACTGTTTGAGAGCAGAAGTGATGGTAAATATTTAATTGTGCTTCCACCATAACTTTCTGCCAGAGCTCTCAATATGCTTTATAAATGCAAATGAGTGCTCTTTTCCTCTCCAGGGAGATGTAAACCTCCTCAAATCACTTTTATTCAGCCCCCACCAGAATGTAATGCCATAATCAGGAGCGCTCTGTGCCAGAAAAGAAACTGCCCTTAATCATATCGAGTGGATGGTTTATGGTTTTGTGGTCTTCTGTCTCCACAGCGGGCAGGATGCAGGGAAATGGATTCCTCTTGCTGCAACTTCTGTCCAGTAGGGTGGATGGAAAACATTATTTAGAAATAGTTTCAATTATAGCCCTTGAGCAGGCGACTATGAATAAAATGAAGCCTTAGATTATATTAATGGGACTAACAGAACGCACTAGTCCTTGGAAGCTTTAGGAATGAGGCTAATTCTTATTTTTGATTCTGGACTCAGTTTCCCTTGCTGCCTGCATCCTCTACCTGTCCATCACTACTTCACCTCGATCCTGAAGTTAAGGCTGGGTGATGCATGATTCTGGGGGCTGTTGTGGCTTCTTGGGTTTATGAGCAAGGCCCCCACCCTTACCCCAGAGCCACAGTAGAGCCCCTGGAAGCCCAGATCAGCCTGGTAGGGAGCACCCTGAGGTTTGAAGCTATAGCGTCAGGGTGGGAGGCTGGGTGGCCTTGCAGAAAGTACTGCACCTTTATGTGTCATGGTCTCCAACTCTGCCAAATGGGTTCACTGGCCCCTGTTCAGGGCCACCTGGCAGAGCCATTGGAATCATAGAGATGAATTTCTCCAGAGCCTCATGGAGTGCCTTCTGAGAAGCGTGTTATGTAAATTTGGTGTGTCATGATCATTATTAGTGCTGTGAAGTGGAGATGAGGGGGAGAGGGAGGGTTGCTTCTGGAAGGGACCGGCCTCCCCAGCTGTCAGAAGAATTGGAGGAAAAAACAAACTTAAGAAGTCTCTTCCAGTGCTTGCCTTCCTTCAGATATGCACGGTATGACTCTCAACACAAACCCAAGCTCGGACGGGCGAGAAAATACAGCTTTATTTACTTTATCCCCTTGATTTGCTGTTTGAGCCCCCATTCCCCTGGGGTGGCAGAAATGTAATTTAGGTTACACGTAGGCTGTATGGTGCCAAGTTGTGGAGGAAGCTGCCTCAATGCCTCTGTTAGCTCCTGTCCACACTGGCACCCATCGAGACACCCCACACCCCATGTGACCCTTGCCTGTAGTCCATGCAGGTCACCACTGGGTCGTTCTGGGTCCCCTTCATTAGTCCTGATGGGACCTAAGGCTCCCTCTGCTCTGTCCATGCCATGTCAGCCTGGTGGGTCACTCAACTGCTGCATCCCACACTGGAATGAATGCTGCATGTCCAAGGCCCTGTCCCCTCCACAGACTCCTACCATCCCTTCTCTGGGATTGGATACCAGGAGACAAGAGCATAGGGAACCCGTTTTCTCAACCAACACTACCCCTCACTTATCACTTCGATTTTCATTCCTCCCACCTGCCCATAGGGGGATTGCTTCCCAAACCTTTGGCTTATGCCAGGAGTCCTTCTGTTTCTTGAGGGGCCCACCATTTTGTAACTGTACATTCTGCATTCATATCTCCCATCTCCTGCCTAAAGCAGTGAACACAGAATGGCTGTTCACATGGGGCATAGGAGCGTTCAGGAAAAAAAGGAAACCGAGGAGGGGGAAGCCAAAACAGCTGATGCTTATTTCCCCCTCCTCTGTTGGTTGAGCACCTAATGCACTGGGCCTATTCCTCTGATACATGTCCTGGGAAATCCAGGTGGATGAGACACTTCCACCAGCCTGACCAGCACCATGGTGTGAATTTAAAAAGGTGCCCCTCTGCAACTACTGGACATCCACATGACAAAAACAGTTGTACGTTTGATTCACCTTGCACCTTATGCAAAAATTAACTCCAAGTAGATCACATACCCAGGTAGGAGAAAAAAATCTTTGTGACCTTGGGTTAGGCAAAGATTTCTCAGTATGACACCCAACCATAAAATAAAACATTGATAAGCTGGATTTCATGAAAATTTACAACTTCTGCTTTTTGAAACACACTGTTAAAAGAAAGAACATACAAACTGCAGAGTAGGAGAAAATATTTACAAAGCATATATCTGATAGAGGACTTGCATCCAGAATATATAAAGAACTCTCCAAATTCAATAATAGGAAAGTAAAAAATCATAAAATATTGAACACACTTCACTAAATAAGATATGCCAATGGCAACTAGGCACGTGAAAGGATGTTTAACGTCGTTCATCATTAAGGAAATGAAAATTAAAACCACAATGAGCTACTGCTACATACTTATGAAAATGGCCCAAATTAGAAATGACCCACAATGGCAAGTTGATGAGGATGTGGAGGAACTGGAATGCTCATACACTCTCATGTATAGCCCCAACCTGGAAACAACAGGTGAATGAATAGGCAGACTCAGTGTGACCATACAGTAGAATATTACTCGGCAATAAAAAGGGATGGGCTGCTGATGTACACAACATAATCAGTCTTTTTTTAAAAAGTTTTACTTATTTATTTTTGAGAGAGACAGAGCAGGGGAGGGGCAGAAAGAGAGAGGGAGACAGAGAATCCCATGCAGGCTCCACACTGTCAGTGCAGAGGCTGTTGCGGTTCTCAAACTCACGGCCCATGAGATCATGACCTGACCCAAAATCAAGAGCCAGATGCTCAACCGACTGAGCCACCCAGGTGTCCCCACAACATGATCAGTCTAAAATAGTTATGCTAAGTGAAAGAAGCCAGATTAAAAAATAGTATATGCTATATGATTCCATTTACATAAAATTCTAGAGAATGCCAGTTAATCTATAAAAAGGAAAATCAGTCATTGCCTAGGGACAGTGATAGGGTGGGGCAGGGATGGAGGGAAGGAAGGTTTACAAAGGGACAAGGGAACTTCTGGAATGATAGATATGTTTATTATCTTGATTGTGGTGATGGTTCCCCGTGTAAATATATGTCGAAACTTACCAAATTGTATGCCTTAGCTACATGCAGTTTATTGTACGTCATTTCTACCTCAATAAAACTGTTGAAAAAACACCCAAAGAGGATTTTGGCTTTGCTGATCAGGAGCTCATGATCAGGCTTTTGGGAAGTAGTTTCCATTGAGAAGTAGGGGCTAACAGTAGTCAATAATGGACTAACGAGAAAAAAAGAAAAAGGCGCCTTGTTTTCAGGACACTTTACTGCTATCTGCCAGAAAACAGTTCTCATAAATAGTAAGTCTGTGGTCACTCTGTGCCTGATGATCTTGGTGTGTGCCCTGGAGCTGCTGCAGCGGCTCCCAGGAGCTCACAGCTGGAGCCACGGTGTCTCTTTCTCTTACTGACCACAAGGATAGGTGAACAGGAAGTAGGCTTCAGGGACATGACAGGTGCATTTGTGTGAGCCCCTTGTAGAGTCTTGGAGAAGGGGGTGACATGTATCTGGGTCCAGGGTCAAAGGGGCCTGCAGGGAGGCTGAGTCTTGGGAGGGTGGTTGGGGGCCAGGGGAATTTATGGGAGATCATCCAAGGGTGTCAATTTGGATTCCTGAAAGGGAGGTGGAGGAGAGTGGTGGGGAGAAATGGGTGCAGACAGATGAGGTTGGGATGCAACCCATTGGGGAGGAAGATGGCAGAAAGACATGGCTCAGGAAGGCCAAGAAGGAAGTAAATTGGCCACTGAGTTGGCATGGCCCTTGAAGAGCCTGTGGACGAGTACAGTGGGAAGAAGCCGTGTCTAGGGATAAAGTGGTGGGTGGACAAATGACTTCATCCCACACAGGGGGCTTTCAGTCTTTCAGGGAGAGACCAATGAATGTAGCATCAGGATACGTAAGCTGTGGCATCTGACAGACTTCCCTTCTCTGAGACTTAGGCTTCACAGAGGGCCCAAGGCTCCTAATACAGACATTTACAGTTATAAGTAACCTTATGAACATAAGGGCCACTGCCTAGAAATCCTTCTGACTCATCAGATTTTTTCTTTTTACCCACAGAAACCTTAATGGACACCAGAACGGCTACCGCAGAGCTGGGCTGGACAGCCAATCCTGCGTCAGGGGTGAGTGTCAACCATCCATCCTTCAATCCTGCTGTGCAGTCTAGGGCCTATGGGATGGCTGGGGGAACAGAGCCTGCCTACAGCAGGACCTTTGTGGGGGGAATGTAGGTGTGAGTGGCTGTGTCCTCTGCCCATCCACAAAGAGGCAGCACTGAAGATCTTTGGCCTGAGCTGCTCTCTGGTAAGATGATGCAGACCATCTCCTGACACAGTCCTTCAGGAAGCTGGCTCCCAGGTGACTAGGGCTGTGCCTGTGTGGGAACAGGGGCAGTGGCTGCCAAGAGCTGAGCACTCAGGCCAATGGCGCTGGGGTAGATCAGAGATCTGTGATGCCCACAGGGCTGCCAAGAGGCAAGGGCACGAGGAACTGGAAGTCAGAAGGGCTGAAGCTCTCTTTCACCTGGAGCTTGCCTTTGAGAGATGTTCTTGATTCATTTGTTCAGTGTTCATGTCCTTGGCCAGACCCTGTAGCCACAAGAATGGAAGAGCTCTGAGGACCTCGTGGCCTCCATGGGTGTGGGGACTGCCAAGTTCATAAACAGGCAGAAGTACATCTCTTCTTTGTGGCAGTGGAGTAATCAACAGGCAGGTGTGGCCCAGAACTTGGGATGAGGAACTTGGCAGGGACACAGGAGCCTTTGCAGAGAAGATGCATGCTAGTTGGGGTTTGCAGAGTGAGTAGGAGTTTGACAGGTTAGAGAGTCTGCAGAGATATTCCAAGTAAGGGAAATAATTGACTGGAGGCACGGGGCCATGAAAAGACATGAGACAGGAGAGTCTGTGTTTATGGAACATGGCAGGGTGTGGACAGGGCTGAGATGGGGCTGGGGTGTGGGTTGGAACTGGGTCTGATGGCAGAGGACTATGCCTGCCATGCTGAGGAAGCATAATGGATTTTATCCTGTAGGTAGTGGACAGATCCTGGGCAGGAGAATAACATGGCCTGACTTGCTGACAGGATGGTAGGGAACAGTTGAGAGAAAGCATGTATTAGGCTCTTCTAGCTGTCTTCGGTGGGTGGGAAGAGTGGGATGAAAATGGGATACTTAGAGGGCAGTTGGAGCAAAGCAAAGGAAGAAGCATTGGCAGCCCTGGCAATGGATGGACTGCAGGAGGATGGAACGGAAGATGGAGGAGGGGAGATGACGTTCAGGAGCCTGGCATGAGTGACTGATCACCAAAGGAGAGGGGCCGGGGAAGGAGTGGGCTCTTCATCCCAGCAGGGAGCCAAGTCAGCTGGGGTGGGGCTGCCCACGCCTCCTGTCTCCTTCCCTGCCTTTGGTGGCCTCTACCCCAGGGCCACTCTACACCCTGTGGTATGTATCATGACCAGGCCTTTCACCCACTTTTACTGTAGGGTCAGTATGAAATAGCCACTCAGGTCCCAGCAGGCTGTGCATCCTCCCCGGCTCTCACTGTCCCCACTCTATTCCCAGCATTTGGAGAAACACACCCCCCGGGAGCAAGCATCCTGCCTTGGAGCAGGAAGGCAAGGATTACCATGGGTTGGCGTTTTCCAAAGCAGGGCCCAGAGCAGGGGCCAGTCCTGCCCACGCGGACCAAGTCCCAGTCCTGCTGGGTGCACTGTGGGTAACTAGGGAAACTCCCCTACTTCTACAAGGGACTTTATACAAAGCCTGTGAGGCAGCACCTCTTCATGTTGCTGGATATTAAGAACCTGCCACTCTTTTACAAATTACGTTATTGTTTGAAGGCCTGTGCTTTCACAAAGTATCAACATGATTTATGGTGAATTTTCCCTGTGATTTTTGTACACCTGTGTTCTTTAAACTTCTGCTCTCCTTTCCCAAGGAAGATTGTCCTTTAGGAAAATACTCAAAGTCAAGTGATGCCCTTTAATGTTTATTTTATTTTTTTTGGGACAGAGAGAGACAGAGCATGAACGGGGGAGGGGCAGAGAGAGAGGGAGACACAGAATGGGAAACAGGCTCCAGGCTCTGAGCCATCAGCCCAGAGCCCGACACGGGGCTCGAACTCACGGACCGCGAGATCGTGACCTGGCTGACGTCGGACGCTTAACCGACTGCGCCACCCAGGCGCCCCAAGTGATGCCCTTTAGAGACAGCAGCTGCCGGGCTGCTCTGTGCTTGCCTTCCCACTGGTTAGCAGCCAAGGTTCAGCTGCCTTCCTCCACACCCTTACAGCCAGGTAACTCTGCTTTAGGTGCCCTGAGCAGCCTCAGAGCCTGCCTGGTTTATAGTGAGTGGTGGGAGGGTCAGGCTGACCCTAGCCTGGGTTGAGAGGGAAGGGCAAGGACCACGCTTCCATCCCAAACCTCTCCTCCTCCCCCTCTGTTCTCATCCTGGATAGTTGCCCCTGATTCTGTGAATACCCCAGTGGCTCCCAAGTGTGTGTCCCTAGCCCATCCTCCATTGGATGCTCATGGGCATGCCAGTCTAAGCCTGGCCCAAGCAGAATTCAACCCTCTCCACCTCCCTCACCAAACATGAGGTCTCCATTTTAGCACATTGTAAAGACCAAACACTGGAGTGATTCTTCTTTGTCATTTCCAGGCCCATCCACACGAGCACCTTTGCTGTCCCCCTGACTGTACTGGGTCCCCATCACAGGTCCAATCAGGGCCAGGGAGCTTTCCTCAATAACACTTTTCATAGTTGCAGATTTTGCATCTTTATGTGTCAGTGTTGGATTAATTTTTATCCCCCCTAATTCTAGCTCCTCTTTGGCCATACTGTCACCTCAAAGGTAGCTGGGATTCTCCCTGTTTGCTCACCATTGGAAACTGGCACCTAATTCACTGCCTGACTCAGCTACTTGCTGAAACTTTCTGACCTGGGCAAGTGGGTGGATGATATGGTGCCATTCTTGGGATGGGGGACACAGGAGGAGCAGCGAGCTTGGGTGGGAAGAGGCAGAGTTCAGCATTGGACCTGTTGAGTTTGCAAGGCACCCATGGGGACGGGCTCTGCCAGCATTTGACTCATGGGCAGTGGAATCAGAAGGCAGGCAGCCTCTCTGGGAAGGGAGCCTGGGGTGTGGCTGCAGTCTCCCAGGGAGCATCTGGAGGGAGAAGAGGTGACAGCTTCAGATGGGTAATCTGAATTGAAATGTCAAATATAGAAAGAGGAGCCTAGAAAGGAGACTGAGAAGGTATGGCTCAGGAGGCAGGAGAAAACTAAGCGGTCTCTCACAGGAACCAAGAATGTGTCAAGGAGTAAGAGGAGACAGAAGTGGCAAATGGTGTGGGGGGCTGGATGGGCTTAGTTACAAGGACCCTGTTGGTGACCCGTGTGGAGGGTTTCACGGGGACAGGCATAGAAGCCAGAAAGCAAGGGTTGAAGGTCAGTGGGAGGTGAGACAATGGAGACAGCACTTTGTGAAGAGGCAGGAAGACCAAACATGGGGAGAGAGGGAATGGGGCTGTGGGCACATTGGCTCTTCACGGGAAGAGACTCCTGTAGAAATGGAAGTACAGAGATAAGGTGGCTACAGAGAGATGTGGGCACTCAGATTTTGTGACAGAAGCCGTGAAAAGGAAAATTATTTCAATGTTCTATCTTCTCACTGAGGTTGGAGTCCAGGTTCAGGCCCTGAGGATGGGGTGGTCTTGGGCAGCAAGTTTTAGGGGGGCAGAGCAGGTCTGAAGGCACTGCTGGTGTTGGAGATGTGGAGAGAGACTGGGTGTGTATAGAAGGAATGTGGCCTAGCTGTGGCCACAAGCCATGTGTCTGTGGTGCCCTGATCTGCAGGCCCCCTTCAGTGATCTGATCACATAGGAGGACGTGTCCTGGTAGATCGTCCTGAGGTGTGGGTGTGCAAGAACAGTGGGCCTGGAAGGGTAAGGGGCTGAGGACATTGGTGAAAGGAGGTTGGCATCTTGTATCAAGGCATCTACTCAGCAGGAAGAAATGTGACACCAGGAGGGACTGACCACTGTGACAAAGTGCAGGGGCCTAGATGGAGGTCTCAGTGAGACTGGAGGAGGACCACAGGCTACGGCCTTGAGGCAGGGCTTGGATTTAAGATATGCAGAGTACTTCTGGGTGGTAAAGAGGTCCAGGGAACGGGATTGAGGTCAGGTATTTGAGAAGCCAGGGGGCTGGGTGGGTGATCACATCTTCCTGGGACCCACTGAGGATGAGACACTCCCCACCCCCACCCCCAAAAGGGGGAAGAGGCCTCAGATCATGCATGCCTAAAATGGAGAAGGGTGGACTGGCATTGTTCCGGTAGCCTGGGGGTCCCCAGGGAACTGAGTTTGTCCTGACCAGAAGAAGCCTAATTCTGCCAGGGGGCCCAACTGGCATTCCAATGAACCTTACCCACAGTGCACAGCCTGTGAGGTGGCTCCCCAGAGAGAGGCCATGGGACTCTTCCTTTTATGGGGCTCCCTGGATGTCTTCACAGCTGTGCTTGAGAACCACCAGTTGTGGGAAGGCGTTGGACCGCCCACCCACACACAGCCCACAAATTGTTTTCAGTTCTATTGCTGGAAAGTGGATCATAATATTCCATGTCAAACACAGAAAGTATTTGTGCCCAAATGAAAACTGTTGCTTTAAGATCTAATTGTAGCTTTAATTCAAAGCCTTTAGATTTAACCTGAATAGAGGCCACCTGGTGAGTAGAGGGAGAACGTGACATTTATCCGGTAACAAATGCCAGGGAGGAGCTTAGCTGCTCACCAAAGGGCATCCCAGGGACCCTCACTGGTGACACGTGTGACCTTGGGCTGGCTTCATAGATCTCTCCCAAACCCTTGCTTCCAGCCCTGCTACAAAATGTTCCCTGACCTTCACAGTTAAGGGCCTCTGGGCAGTGGGGGTGTTCAGGGAGGCCTCATGGTAGACACTCAGTAAGTGGTGGTCTTTATGGCTACCCCTCTCACCAATCTACCCCCCCCCCCTTTCTGGATGCTTCCTGGCCCTCCCTACTCTTTTCCTTCCCCCCTCCCTTCCTGCATCACTCCCTGCTCCTCAGGTGTCAGCTCTGTGCTCACCCCCTAGGGGAGCCCTCCT